TGATGCATTGAGCAGAAAATCTTTACATATCTTTTCATTGATGATTCATGAGATGAATTTGATAGAAAATTTTAGAGATGAGTTTGTTAACTATGGTAAGTCAGGATAGAATACAATTGCATACAGTTCAGATTACTAGTGACTTACATGGACAAATCTGTAAGGCTTAGATAGTTGATGAATTCATTCAGAAGAAGAAAAAATTGTTAGGACAAAAGGGTAGTGAAAAGTTTAATATATATCAAAAGGGAGTTATGAGATTTAATGATAGGATATGTGTGCCTAATGATTCTGAAATTAAAAAAATAATTTTAGGTGAGGCACATAAGAGCAAATTGAGCATACACCCTGGTACAACAAAGATGTATCAAGATCTCAAAAGGATTTTTTGGTGGCCTAAAATGAAAAAGGAAGTAACACAATATGTAGCTACATGTTTGATTTGTCAGAAGGCCAAGATAGAAGCAGGAATGTTATAACCCTTAGATATACCTGAATGGAAAGGGGACATTATAGCAATGGATTTTATAGTTGGTTTACCACGAACAACACATAAGTTTGATTCCATATGGTTTATCGTGGATAGACTAACAAAATCTATTCATTTCTTACCCATTAACATTAGGTATTCACTAGAAAAAATGACTGAACTGTACACAATAGAAATTGTACGGTTGCATGGTGTACCATCTAGCATAATATTTGATAGAGACCCTAGGTTTTCTTCTAAATTTTAGGGAAGTTTACATCAAGTATTGGGAACTAAACTTCGCCTTAGCTCTGCATATCATCCTCAAGCAAATGGACAATCAGAGAGGACCACACAATCCTTAGAAGACTTATTGAGAGCTTACATGTTAGAGGATTCTGGTAGTTGGGATCAATATTTACCTCTAATTGAATTCACTTATAACAACAGTTTCCATTCTAGCATAGGTATGGCACCCTACGAAACTCTATATGGAAGAAAGTGCATAACTCCTTTGTGTTGGTTTGAAATTGGAGAAAATTTAATGTTGGGTCCTGAATTGGTGCAACAAACCACAGAGAAAATCAAAATGATTTAGGAAAAATTGAGAATAACTCAAAGTAGACAGAAAAACTATGCTGATAAGAGAAGACGACCTTTTGAATTCTAGGAAGGTGATCATGTATTTTTGAAAGTTACACCAACAACTAAAATTGGTAGGGTAATGAAATCAAAGAAAGTCACACCTCGATTTATTGGTCCTTACCAAATTCTCAGAAAAATAGGTCCTGTTACTTATCAAATTTCTCTACCTCCTTTTCTTTCTAATCTCCACAATGTCTTTCATGTGTCTCAGTTAAGAAAATATATTTATGATCCTTCTCATGTTATAATGTCTGATACAGTATAATTAAAGGATATATAACCTTACATATGAAACAATGCATATACAGATCGCAGACAACAGAATCAAGCAGTTGAGAGGCAAACAAATTTCATTGGTAAAGGTTATCTGAAATGATGTTACTAGAGATGCAATTGGAAGAGAAAATGAAAGAAAACTACCCTAACTTATTTTAAGCAATAATAAAAATTTAGAGGACGAAATTTTTGTAAGTGGGAGAGAATTGTAATATTTCGAAACTTTGATATAATGTTATAAATTTTCTTATCATTATATTCTTCTTAGAATAATATTTTTTAAAAAAATATTAGTTACCTTATTTACAATAAATAAATAAATATAAATGTCTTATTTTGATACATTATGATTTTTACATTTTCAACAAATTAAAGTAGAAATATTTATTATTCAAATTTATTATAATCTTTTAGAATAATATTTTTTTTAAAATTTAGTTACCATATTTAAAATAAATAGATAAATGCTGATGTTTTATTTATTTATTTATACCTTATAAAATTTTATATTTTTAGTAGACTAAAATATATGTATATATAGATAATATTCAATTATAAATATTTATAATAATTTTTTTAATAACTTAATTATTATAATTACCTGTGAAACAAATTAAATATATTATAATATATACAATAACATATACATATAAAATGGAATGATTCAATGACTTGTGTAGTTGTGCATAAGAACTATAATATATAAATATGCAAGAGGTTGATAATGCAAAAGCGTAGAAGATATGGTGCAGAAGATAGAGAAGAAAAAGAGAAAGATAGCAACGAGTAAATGGAGAGGAAAATAGCATTGAAGTGTCCGTAACCTCATTTACTTAATTTAAGATACTTTTTACTCTTAAAATTTAATGAGGTGTTCCTAATTTATGTTTTTTTAATTATTTTATGATGTTTATCACTATCATTTACTTGAGTAATATTCTTTTATACATTCTATTTACGCAAATTATATTATATCAAATTTTAAATAATTAAAAATACTCAAATTATTTAGCTTAATCATTTTTATATTAATATTAACTAGTTTTGTAAAAATATATTAAACTCGTATTGTTATTATTTCTTCATGCATTTATAAAGATAAATAGTATTCTGTGGTCATAAGAATAAAAATTTGAATTAATTTGTAATTGGAGATTTTACCTTGAGGATTTAAATGAGTAAAAACTTAAGGTAAAATAACATTTAGTTATTTGTTATTATAATACTCATTTATCCTGACTGGTCACTATAATTCAAATTTTTATATCATGAAAAAAATTAATATATATTTACTGGTATTAAATATTTCTATGCATGTTGGCTAATTGTTGATATTTATTGGAAATTTATTCTCACTCCTTTTGTTTCTTATTTAAAATTTGTAATTAATAGGATATATATATATATATATATAGCTGGATCTGGATGTGCCAGCTATTCCGGGACCCTTTCCCTCAGTTATATCCGCAGTATTATTGTAAATTTATTTCAAACACCAATGTAAATATTATAGTAGAAGTAAAAAAAAACTATGGTATATAAATAGACACGTATTGTAAATATTTTTATAATAATATGTAATGTAAATATTAAAATCATATATAAGATATAAGAAGTTATAATTACGTACGTTATTGTAAATATTTTAATAATATGTAATGTAATTTATAAACTAATTATATATATATGAGTTCGAAAAATCTTTCTTTGTTATCACATATAATATTAATAATAATATACTTGTATTTTCAATAAATATATATATATTGCTTCAAAAAAAATAAATATATATATATATATACGTATAATATTTTGAAATTAATATTTATATTATACGTTACAATATACATGTATACGAAACAATTTTTTTTTGTTTTGCTAGCTCAAAGAAATCAGTGAAAAGTTTGGATTTTTATTAACTAGCAAGGATGGAAACAACTTTGCAGAATACATGAAACTGTTATGGTCAATCTAAAATGCAACAACATAGCACATCAATGGTTTTGACAGAAGTAGATACCCTATTACATGCTATTGGGATAGAAGCATAAGGATGTGTTCAAGTTTGAATTCCTGGAGTACTAGGCATTGTAGTAGATAGAAGCTTGCTTTCACACTCCTTGGATTGCTAGTCCTCCCCTATGACCTGATCCTGAAAAAAGCCATTAGAATGGAAAAATTAAGCAATATATTTATGGTCATTGTTGAATTTTCTAATAGATAACAAGTTGCTTGACACATTTGGAACAAAGACAGCAGATTCAACTACTAAATATTTAGAAACATTGTCAGAGCCATTACAGGAAACAGCGGATATGACCCATCTACAATATGCACTAGGAGGTATTTTCCCGGCCAAGGGAGTGAAGAAAATAGCATAACAAGTCATATGATCAGTGGCATTGTAGTCAATCACCCAGCCACAACTATCTCAGTGAGACTGTCTTCGGGTTTCCAAACAGCAATTATTTGCTGTGTACATTCCAACTTGTATCCTTAGTCCTTAGGGGAGACCTTTTGAGGTAGGATCAGCAGTTATGGTAGGATAGGCTTCAACTTCTGTTCTGATAGGCAATTTAACCAATTGAAAGAACATAGGGAGTAGAGCAGCCCTAGGGGAGACCTTCTTAGATTCTAAACTAATGCAAGGAAGGGCAAGGCTACATTAACCAGCCACAAGGTGTGCTGAAAATGGCACAATGAGTGAATTGGTAGTATACAGTGTCAACAGGAATCTACTCTAAATTGAGTACCCAGATTTATTCTTAGGGAGTTTTCTGGAAGTTAGTCCAGGGAGAGCGATTTGAGATCTCAACTGTAGGTCCATTTGGATGGTACTCTTCATATGGAAAATACGAAACCACAGCAGAAGGAACCAAACAACTTCTGCTAATCACCTTGCCTTTACCATTGATGAAATAAGAACAAATGGAGATCATTGGTGATAATTTTTGCCAGTCTCTGCCCAGTGATGAGCATGTCTGAAACACTCATTTCATATTAGATTGAGAGACAATGCCCCATATTGGAGAGGTGACTGCCGGTGCTGGAACCCATGCCAAGAATATAGGGTTTCTTTTGTATTTGAGAATGCTTTGATTCCATAAAGAATCAGATAATACCATAGAGAGATGGTGTTGGAGCGGCTTCTAGTGTCGGAAGCCATGGCAGGAATTTAGGTTTTCTTTTGTATTTAAGAACATTGATACCATAAAGAATCAAATGATTGAATACGCAGTGCTCTATTGTAATCTTAACCCTAATCTATAATCAAACAGTCCAAGTGTTGTTTTTTGGCTTAAAACATTCCTACCTAATGGCATTAATGTTAATTTAATACAAAACATTTTGCCTTTTCCCTTGCATGTTCACAAGCACTTACTCTAGTAAAGTGATACGGTGTATACTATACAATACAGGTGGTGAGAAGATTCACCCATGATTTCTTGGCCCAGATTTGCTACACCAAAATCAGATGTAATCAGATCGTCCATAGGTAATTAATGAGTGGAGACAAATCTACCTAATTAAGGAAAAAAATAGGTCCTAAAAATGTTATCAGTTGCAATATTTCCTAATCCAAATAAATTATGATAACTCCTATCAACTTGATTGCATCAGAACCATCTATAATCTTTGCCTAATCATAACCGTCCATAATCTTCCGTGTTGTTTGAGGGTAATTCTTTAGAGTGCTTGTTAATTTGTAGCCGTCGAGGCAGACTACACGCATTAATATGTTATTTTACATGACTCGGCCTTGCTGATTTTTTAGGTTTGGCGAAAGCTTCAAAATACTGGAAATCAGATTGTTGCTATAACCAAGACCCTCTCCAACATGTCAAAAGCTTCCTTCTATGAGCAGGTAAAGAAAACTCTTGTAATTCTTTGCCACAGCACTTAAGTTTCATAGTTTTTTCTTTACTTCTGATTTTTCTTTTTTACCTATGAGGTATTTGTTTTCTGGTGTTTTGTATGTCATCTTTTCCTTATTGTTAGGTGGGAATTTCAGTGAAGAGCTCCTTTGAAGATGAAAAACAAGTGGTAAGAGTATCAAATTTTTATTAGTATTTGATATGTTGATCATGCATATAACTGGATCAAGTTTGATAAATCTGATGGTTAGATAAATTTTGCTTTGGCATCAGTTAAAACAGTTTTGATCTACATTATGAGATAATTTTTTTGCACAGATACCTAATCCTCTCATACCTAAGCCACTATGCAACATGTACAGGAGACAATAGTTTTATTTTATCTTAATATAAGTTGTAGTTTATGTATTGGAAGATAAGATGTAGTGTGAAATGAAATACATGCATATGCCTTGGTATTAAAAAAATAAAATAAAATTCTCTGTTTCAGCTTTGTAAAAAGCATGAAATAAAATTAAGAAGCAAACCTCGAAGAGGCTTTTAGCTTAAGTGACAACAAATCTCTATGGGGGACCAAATGGCAGATTCAAATTCCATTAAGGCTGCTTTGTTTCAACTTTGACTTGTTCTCCTCTCCACACCTGGTTGCTGACCACTATTGGAGTATATAACTTACTACTTAATATTGTATTAGATATAATATTGTATAGGGTTTCTTTTTGTTATTTTTCTAATTTATTTTTAGTTACCTGTTCAACAAGTCATTAGTTTTCTCAAGTTAGTTATTGTTTCTATAGCTTCTTTTAGAAGTTATTGAAACATATATATATATATATAGGACTATTGTATTACAGATTTTCAACACAAAATAATACAACTCTCTTTCTCTAATCACAATATGGTATCATAGAGTCGTTGATCCTTGTTGCCCTCTCTTATTCTCTTCTCTTATTGCCCTTGTTGTTGATTCCTATTGCCCTTTCTTCCTTTTCTCTTTGTCTACACTATTAGTCTCTTCTCATGGTTGAAGAAACGGAACCATTGTCGCACTTTCATGCTAAATCTGTCAAACCCTCTTCATCCCCTTCTCTTACCTTCGCACACACTATTTTTGAGAAATTAGATACCAAGAACTATCTTTTTTGGTGTCAATATAGGTTGAACCTATCATCAAAGGTCACCATCTCCGTCATTTCTTGGTTAATCCCCAAATTCCATAGAAATTCCTTTCAGTTGTTGACAAAGATGCTGATTGTATTTTCTAAAGAATATCTTGCTTGGGAACAACAAGATCAGTTGCTTCTTTCTTGGTTACAATCATCAATGTCCAAGGACATGCTCACTCGAGTTATTGGCTGCAAGTCTTCCTTTCAACTTTGGTACAAGATCCATGCATATTTTCATGCGCCCACTAATGCCAAAGCACGTCAACTCTGAAATGATCTTCGAGCCCACACTAAGATTGAATTTCTGATTATCTTCTTCAAATTCAATCTTTGGTTGATACTCTAATTGCTATTGGTGATTTGATCTATGTAACCCCTTTCTAGATTACCTATGTTAATCATAACTAATTATTTATGGTTACTAATATTTATATTATTATAATGTGTAGAAAAGATAATTAAACAAATGAAGTAAATTTATCTAATTAAAGTTTTATTCAATAAAAGTCACTAGATATTACAAACCATTTTATAAAAACTTAGCAAAATAAAACCCCCCATCCTATGCTCTGGATTTTTGCATCTGACCTTCTAATTGCACATCCAATTTTTTTACATTATGAGATCTCCAATATCTAAGTTTAAAAAATATTTATGGGATTAGACATTTAATTTCATTCACATCTCAAACAAACAAATCAAACAAATGCATAATAAATTCATACAATTATCAACACACAACAAATTGATAATATTTTTCATTAACAATAGCCCAAATAATGCAATATGCTTATGAGATGCAGATTTTGACTGAAAATATACTTTTAAAAATCATTTTGACTCAATATTCCATGGAGATTTTCCCTTTTGAGTGTTTAGTGAAGTTAGAGCTTAACATCACTCTGTCCAGTGATTCGGCAATGCTCCACTAAACGCGAACAAGTAGACAGTAGTCAGAGTATTAGTGCACCCGGAAGGCTACCATGACACAGAATCAATAAAGACTGGCCATCTGTGGGATTGTCCATGCCCAAACACTCCCTAGACCAAAGGTCTATCCCCCAGACCAGAGTTCCCGTCTTACCCATTCTACTCAAATTCAATTTACTATCTTCTGACATTGGTAGCATAAAACAAATACCTCAGTCAGACTTTCACAACCATATCAAGCTCTTTCTCACTTTATCCTTTTCTTTATCCATCTCGTACTGCCAACTATCCTTGACAGTACCCACTATCACCATCAATCTCTTGCCACCAATGTCTTAGATAGTAAACATAAAGAAAAGAATTCACGTAAAATGTATCATTTCAAAATTATAAAACTCATTCTTTTTCTATCAAATATCCTTGATACAAAATTCATTTCTCAAATATTTATTTTTTGAAATTCTTTTCTTTTCCCCCCAAAAATCTTTTGACTCAAAAATGACATTATGCAATATGCAATATGCATCCCTATTAATCTATCACTTCAAAAATTATTCACAATCAAACTCTTCAAATACAATTCAAACAATTTCAGTAGAAACGTTCAATCATAAACAATCAACCACTTCAAGATTCAACCTTAAAACATCAAATTTATCAAAATGTACAATCAAAAACCATATCAACTAACCTAAGGTTCCATGCATCAAAACTTATAAGTAAAGATCAATATTTATTCTACAATTATATAGACATGAATAAAATTAAACATCTAACCCATGCCTATTTCTCCAAGCTTGTTAATTTCTCCTAATTTCCTTGATTTCTTCTTTTCATACTTCTTTTTCTTCTTCTTATCTTCTTCCTTTCTTCCATTTTTCTTGAAATTTTAGTTGTTTACTCCTTGTTTTCCTCCTTGGTTGTGGAAAAGATGGAGTATTTTTTGGTGTTTCTTTGGCGTTGGTTTATGTCTAGTTGTTAAGGGTTGTTGGTGAGCTTTTTGGTGTGTGGTTTCTCCTATTTATACTAGTCTCCACCTCCATTCTTCAATGATATGAACCAAGAGCGATGAATTCGTTTTACAGATCTATCTAGGTTGGAAAGCTCATAATTAAGAAATTAAAAGAAAAAAAATATGGATTGAGGTAAGAAATGGAAGAACAACGCCACAATCCCTAAAAATTGATAAGTTGAGGAAGATTCGCCACTTTGAATTAGGAAATTCAAGGATAAGAATCAAAAGTAGTTCCTAAGAACCTAGAGAGAGAAAATCCTCTCAATTGGAAAAATATCTAAATTCTGAATAATTCATTCTCTCTTCGTCTAAAATTTTTACAAAAGGTTCCAATTTATAAGGTTAGATGGGCAAGATGACATAAATTCCCACTAACACTTAATATCCACTAGAATTGACTCCTCACTAGCCCACTAACTAAGCAATAAATTCCCACTAATTCCCACTAGCATTTATTTCCCCTTAGCAACCTAAAAGGCAAGGAAACCCATCAGATTTATTTAATAAAATAAAATAAAACGAAAATTACATTAAAAAATAAGATAATGGACTTATTTAATTATTCAGCCCCAAAATACTTAAATTTCAGCCCATTAATCATTCTTCTTTATCATACCCTCATTTTTTACGAAGATTTGTCCCGAATCTTAAGACTTTATTTTTTCCTAATTTATTTAATTCACTAACTACTACAGAAACGCAAATGCTTCCTCCTAGGTCGAAGACATCTCGCTTGTATCCATTTTTAGTTTCACTTGTTGGTAAGTTATTAATCATCCACGAAACAAATAAAACCTCTTTGAACTCATAACCATGAACATACTCAATGAATAGGAATTGAATCCCTTTCAAGTGGTAACTTTGGAAAACAGTAACTCCAAATAACAAATCAACTCCAATTTCCAAGTGCAGGGTCTCTTGAATTTTATTCTGAAACATGGGCTGGATGTATATAGGTGCATTAGGAATGGTGTTGACATGCTTCTTGAAACAAGAAAACTTGTCCTCGTGTTCCTGTAAATTTGACACATCAAAAGAAGAAAATGTAACGTTAGAGTTGTCATCTTCCTCTCTATGTTTCTCACTTTCTGCTCTCATCTTCTCTTCTCTTTCTTTTTCTATCTTTATTTTCAATTTCAGTTGATCCTCATGTACAGTGTCGGATGATAGACATATCAACTTAATCCTTCGTCCACCATGCACAAAAGAAATAGAAGGTTGTTCAGGATTTATAATTTTATTGTACAACCATGGCCTCCCTAATAACATATGGCATGTCTCCATGGGGGCAATATCATAAAGAACTTCATCTTCATATTTTCCAATAGAGAATTTAATCATTGCTTGTCCATTTGTAGTGGGCAGACATAATTTCTCAACCACCCTGCTGCTCACGACATTTCTGAAATTGAATTCATCTACTGCGACTAAGAACAGAGAGTCGTCAACTAAACATCTTGTATAGTAAATTTTCATTTCCATTCCAAACCCAGAGCTGAAACTCTGATACCAAATGATATGAACCCAGAGGGATGGATTCGTTTTTACAGATCTATCTAGGTTGGAAAGCTCATAATTAAGAAATTAAAAAAAATATGGATTGAGGTAAGAAATAGAAGAACAACGTCACAATCCCTAGAGATTGATAAGTTGAGGAAGATTCGTCACTTTGAATTAGGAAATTCAAGGATAAGAATCAAAAGGAGTTCCTAAGAACCTAGAGAGAGAAAATCCTCTCAATTGGAAAAATATCCAAATTTTGAATAATTCATTTTCTCTCCGTCTAAAATTTTTACAAAAGGTTCCTATTTATAAACTTAGATGGTTAAGATGACATAAATTCCCACTAACACTTAATATCCACTAGAATTAACTCCTCACTAGCCCACTAACTAAGCAATAAATTCTCACTAATTCTCACTAATTCTCACTAACATTTATTTCCCCTTAGCAACCTAAAAGGCAAGGAAACCCATCAGATTTATTTAATAAAATAAAATAAAATGAAAATTATATTAAAAAAATAAGATAATAGACTTATTTAATTATTCAGCCCCAAACTACTTAAATTCCAGCTCATTAATCCTTCTTCTTTATCATATGACTTTGGGCTTGTTAGTCTTCAATTTTACCCGAATGGATTCACATCATTCAATCTTCTAGATTTGTAGATATTTCTTGATATTTTCTAAGATATTTTAATAACATAGTGATTAGGTATCCATTTTGTAGATATTTATAGGACTTTCTAGAATTTCCCTGAATTATTTAAGTATCTTAATGATTAAGTTTCCAATTTATTTAATAATTTGGTGATGAGATGTCCACTTTTTAGAATTTTGTAGAGTTATTTAGTTATCTTAATGATTAAGTTTTCAATTCATTTTAATCACATGGTGATTATGTGTCCCTTTTTTTTAGAAATGTATAGAACATCCTAGAAACTTGTAGAATTATTTAAATATCTTAATAGTTAAGCATCTAATCCATTCTAGATTTCTATTATGTAGAATTTTATAGAACTTTCTTGAATTATTTGAATATCTTAATAGTTAAGCTTCCGACTCATTTAATCATTTGGTAATTAGATATCTATTTTGGAGAGTTTTGTAGAACTTTCTAGAACATTGTAGAATTATTAAAATATCTTACAAATTAATTATAATTTTGAGAAACTAATGTCATCATTAGAATCTTGACCATTATCATTAGAATCTTGACCATTAAAAATACAAACTTTTTTCTCTTGATCATCTCTTAATTATGTTAATTAATATTAATTAAATAAATTAGGATTTGCTTATGTGTCATAATTTAATTGGTTAAGACTTGTATTTTAATTTCACCTAACTATACATTTTTTCTTAATAATTCTAAGCATACTATATCAATGATAAAATTATTATATCCTTTTGAACATTTTTCCATAATTTTCTAGCTTAAGGTTTTAGCAGAATAATTTTTTTCTTGTTAAATCCTTAGAGGATTTCTATAAATTTTAATTTAGAAATTTTCTCTCTTAACTATATTTATTCTTAATCTACACTCAATAAATTATTATTTAAGTTATAGATTATTTAAATTTTCTTAAATTGTGTTTATCCTATTTTACAGCGTTCTCTCAACGCTGTCTGAGAAACAGTCAAATTAGATAATAAAATACATGTTATTGAATTTAGAAAATTTGGTTAAATAATGCTGCATAAATTTCATTCACAGTAACTTAAGTAATATTTAATATATATAATAATTTGCAGAAACTTATAGATAAATAGTTATAAAATTTAGGATGTTACAATATACACAATTCCATATCACATACACAACAGATAAGTCCAACAAAATAAGGATTTACACACTATTCAAGCAATTCACATATAGATCATCAATTCTTAACAAGTAATATAACAATAACATTCATAAATTAATATAATAATCAATGAAATTACCAATTTAATATAATCTTAACATAAACGGTAAAACCCCCAATTATTCCAAATATCTTACAAATTAATTATAATTTTGAGAAACTAATGTCATCATTAGAATCTTGACCATTATAAATATAAACTTTTATCTCTTGATCATCTCCTAATTATGTTAATTAATATTAATTAAATAAATTAGAATTTGCTTATGTGTCATAATTTGATTGGTTGAGACTTGTATTTTAATTTCACCTAACTATACATTTTTATTAATTATTCCAAGCATACTATATTGATGATAAAATTATTTATAACCTTTTGAACATTTTTTTATAATTTTCTAGCTTAAGGTTTTAGCATAATAATTTTTTCTAGTTAAATCTTTAGAGAATTTTTATAAATTTTAATTTAGAGATTTTCTCTCTTAACTGCATTTATTCTTAATTTATACTCAATAAATTATTATTTAAGTTATAGATTACTTAAATTTTCTTAAATTGAGTTTCTCAGATTTTACAGCATTTTCTCAACGCCGTCTGAGAAATAGTGAAATTAGAGAATAAAATACATATTATTGAATTTAGAAAATCTTGTTAGATAATGCTACAAAAATTTCATTTACATTATCTTACATAATATTTAATATATATAATAATTTGCATAAATACATAGATAAATAGTTACAAAATTTATGATGTTACATTCTCTTTCAAAGAACATCTTGATATTGTTCTTGAAGGCCTTCCGGAGGAATATGAGTCCACTATTTCTCCTATCAGTAGCCGCTTCATTGAACTTTCCATAGATGAAGTCAAAACTCTCCTTCTTGCTCATGAATCATGTCTTGAGAAATTCAAGAAAAAGAACTTTATCTCTGTCAACATTGCTGAAACCTCCTCAAGCTCTAATTCTCCTATCTTGCAACCTCAAGCCAATCTTGCTCATCAAGATTTCCAATTTGCTTCTTTTCATAGTGGAAGAGCTAGTGCACGGAATGGTCCTGGTGGACAATCCAACAATCGTTATGGGCGTGGGCATGGCAGGTTTTGCAGGTGTTCAATGTCAAGTTTATCACCCGTTATGGTCACATTGCCTCATCTTGCTAGTACAAGTTTGATGGAAATTTTGTTCTAGCTTTACCTCTTGACACTCCCTTTTCCACTACTGGTTCATCTGCCACCCCAGGTTTTGATATAATTATCATCCCTTCAACTCCCAACCAACCACTCGTCCCACTGGATTTTCCAATGGCATCTTGGGTTTTAGACCACCTAACCCAAATTCATCTCGGGCATATCTTGTTTCCGATGGTAGTATTCAGACTCAACCATCAGCTATGGCCATGACTTCCTTTTCTTCTGAAGTCATGTGGATTCAAATTTTATTGTCTGAACGGCATGTTTCTCATTATACACCTTTTGCCTATTGTGACAATATAAGCACTGTTGCATTAGCCCATAATCTTGTTCTTCATGCTCGGACAAAGCATATGGAGTTGGATGACAAAGTTGCTGTCAATCTTCTTTAAGTTCTTCATGTTCCAACTGTTGACCAATATGCTGATATTCTTACTAAAGCATTATCTCCAACTCATTTCTGTGAACTTGAACTTCGGACCAAGTTCAAGTTGGTTGACTCCGTACCTCACCCCACTTGATTGACTTTGTACCTCACCCCACTTGATCTTACTGCTTAATATTGTATTAGATATAATATAATATTATATAGGGTTTCTTTTTGTTATTTTTCTAATTGAGTTTTGGTTACCAATTCAACATGTCATCAGTTTTCTCAAATTAGTTATTATTTCTATAGCTTCTTTTAGAAGCTATTACAACATATATACAGGACTATTGTATTAGAGATTTTGAACACGAAAACAATACAATTCTCTTTCTGTAATCCCAATAACCACCTTTTAACCATTAAGAATAAAGAAACCAAGTTGCAACCCTTTTTTCCTTTGTGCCATCTAGCTAGCTACTCTGGCAGAGATCAATACTGTCAATTATGTGACGGAGAATTGATGTTGATTATTAATCAACTCTGATCAGAAGCATAAGATCTGACACCGAAATTGATTCCGTCCTTTTTGTTCAGTTTTGTCTTGGCTATATCATAGATTAGAGATTCCTCGTCTCTAGCACATATTTCTGCTGCATTATTTTTCATGATCATAGAACAAAAGTTTCTTCTCTTTTCTTCTTTTTTTGCACGTTTTTCTCTTAGACTGAATGAATGAAGAATGAATTGTGGTTGTTGACCAGTCTTCAGAGTTTAATCCTTATCAGTTCTGCGGTAACCCTACCCAATTTGGAAATCTGCCTCGACCATTTCTTAGGCTATGTGCGTTTAACTTATAATTTTATTTTTGTAATTTGATGTGCAAGAATGAAAAAATTAATCCCCATGTATTTAGATTTTTTCCTACCTTCAAAACGTTTTTTTCCTCTGATTTAGAAAGAAAGATACAAGAGGTGTAGTTAATTTTTCCTCTGGCATATAAAAATCCGCTGTAATCACTAATCAGCAGGTGTGGGGCTTGTTTGATTTTTAAGACCTGTCTTCAAGTATCTTTCTAGGTTTGCAAGTTTAACCATCAATGATGCACATGAAACCAGAGCAGGCAGTATCAAATGCACTTCATTGTTAAAGCTGCAAAGGATCTTCCTTTTTTTCTTTGCTCAATCAGTGTCAAATGCACTTCATTCAATATGAAACTTTGCTCGAGATTTACTTAAGCAGTGTTGAAAATTGTTTTTATGTTGTTATGTCAAACAGCTCAGTAACCAGGAATCCATCTCCCACATGAAACCAGAGCAGGCAGTAGAATGTGTTATGTACAAAGCTGGCACTTGCGGGCATTGTGGAGACAAAGCAGATGGGACAGACTGTTTGGTTTGTGATTCATGTGAGGAGATGTATCATCTGTCCTGTATTGAGCCTGCTGTGAAAGAAATACCCCGGAAAAGCTGGTTCTGTGCCACTTGTGCTGCTAGTGGAATTGGATGTTGGCATGAGAATTGTGTGGTGTGTGAACTGTTGAATGTCCCAAAGACCCTAGGTGACATTGTTGGCAAGGAAAGCATCCCTACAAATGAGGAAACACTGTATGAATTGGAAGAGAATTCAAATTGTACTTATGATGGTGTTCAAGTTTCCAAAGGTGGGAGAAACTTGTATGACTGCAAAATTTGTAAAATGGTGGTGGATGATGAAAAAATGAAAATCTGTGGTCACTCGTTTTGCCCCACTAAATACTACCATGTAAGGTGTTTGTCAATTAAGCAGCTTAAGTCATATGGTCGCTGTTGGTATTGCCCTTCATGCATATGCCAAGTTTGCTTCACTGACAAAGATGATGATAAGGTTGTACTCTGTGATGGCTGTGATCATGCATACCATATCTACTGTATGAAACCTTCACGAAAATCTATTCCAAGAGGGAAATGGTTCTGCTTGAAATGTGATGCAGGGATGGAAGCAATTCGCCAGGCAAGGAAGGCATATGAGAGCAACATAGGGAAAGTTGGTCAGAATGATTCAAAGCCAAATGAAAATATTGACAAGAGATGGAACAAAAAGCGAGGAAGGGAATCAGACAAAGTTGGAGGAATGGACATGCTTATAACTGCAGCAAATACTCTGAATTCTGAAGAGGACATAAATGCAATCATGATTGACTCAAAGAGAACAATAACATGAGGGCGTATGTGCTAACTGCTAATGCCTAATGTTTTATATTTATTGCATTTGTTTTAGATTACTGATTTTGTTAAGTTGTAAAACTATGGTAGATTTTGCTGAATTTTGGATACATGCCGTCAGAGAGAAAGGATTATAGAGGCCAAAGAACAAAAGGATCGATAGAAACTTTGGTAAGTGAAGTCTGATATGTAGCAGGTCAGATACTGTTGTAATATATGTGGTTGATATGAAATTTAATTGGCTGCTATTTTCCATGTAGAATATATTGTTTTGAATTGTCATGTTTTATAACAAAAATCTCAAGTCAACGGTAGGGATTGATCCACGTTTAAGTAAGGTCAGGAGTTTGAATTTTGCCTTATATATGCAGCTGCGTTAAATCTTGAGGCCAGTTATCCCACTTTTTGAGGTGCCTTTAACATAGCGAGAAGATTAGTCACTACTGTCGGCGGTAGATATTTCAGGGACCAAAAATAAAAAATTAAGACGGTATTTATTTAAATTAATATAATATATCCATATCTGATTTGTGGATAATCACAAGGGATGCTTTTTTATCTGTTTAGATTTCACTATGCCAGTACCAATTTTGCACAAGGCTTATTTAGCATTCTGCACATGATTATTAGTCCATTCAATGATTTACATTTTTTTTTTATGTTTCACCTTAATTTTAAAAGATTAATGTACTGTACGAAATCCTAATTAATGATTTATAAATTTAAAAGATTTGTGATCTCAGTTGAATACATGTAAATTAGATTATTGCAAAAACAAATACATATTATAATTGGAAGTTATTCCAAAAATGAAATCGACAGTCAGAATTATGAATGTCACCTCCACAAATTATTTAATCTTTGTACAGATATTTCAGAATTTTCCAAATGAATTTTACTGCTTACTAATTAGAGTTACATCACACTGTCCAAAATATCGTTCGAAACATTAAAATATTAATATTTTTTAATAAATTTATTATAAAATAATTATTTAATTTAATATTTTATAATTTAAATTATTATTTTAATGATTCGGTACACGTTTTCGGAGTCTAAATCATTTTCCTACTAGTTACCATACACAAAGAAAACTACACCTTATACACTTATTTTTGGGTTTATTTTAGTATAAGAAATAAAGAGTCAATGTTATGATGCTCGAAGCATATAATAGTATTATACGCTTAATTCCCAATAAAACTAATTAAATTAGTTAATTTTTATTTTATTTAATTATATTAAAATATAAAATTTTATTTTAAAATCACCCCATAGAATTAAATAGCGTAACTAATAACGATGTTTAATAACACTACTTACAAATCAAATATTATTATTTTTGTTCAACACTTAGTTGCCGCTGATCTAGCGGAGGTAATTTAAATTTTTTTTTTTTGGATTTTTAAACTCCCTATTTCACCAAAAAAAAAAATATTTTTGTTCAACAATAAATATGATTCTTTATTAGTAGAATTCTTTCATGTAAAATAGACAGATGGCTCTTTAATGGATTTATCTTTAATGGATTTATAATAAATTAAAAGTATAAAAAAAATTAATAAATTGACACATTTTTAACGAGTGATTAATATATATATATATATGTGCGCTTCTTATAAAACTAAAATGACTAAATTATATTTTTAGATTTAATTTAGTTCTATTATTTAAAAAGGTTTAATTTCATCCTTTAATTTTAAAAAATGGTTCAATGTTATCATCCCGTTCAAATTGATATTAACGACATTAATAAAATTAGGGAAAAAAGATAAAATAGAACACTTTTTTTAAAATATTAGAAAATCAAATTAAATATTTTAAAAATAATGCGATCAAATTAAATATTTTAAATGATTCATTTTAATTATTTAATTTTCAAACAATATTCAACATTGTCATTTTATCGAATTTCATTAATATTAATTTGGACAGAAGGATAATATTAAGTATTTTTTTCATATCAGAAGATCAAATTGAACTATTTAAAAATAGTGAGACCAAAATTTTTTTGATAAACAAAATAGAATTAACAAGAGTACAAAGAGTACTCTAACCTATATACACATAGTATTTTACAAAGAATTAAGAAAGTTAATCCAATCCAACAAGCTTCTCATGTCCCAGAAAGCTAATAGTCAATGTGCAATATTAAGAAGGACAGACACTGGGAGAATTGGACCAAGAAAAGAAATCAGTCAATGTGCAATATTAAAAAAGACAGACACCAGGAGAATTGGACCAAGAAAAGAAATCATAATTGAAAGAAGGGGGGCCCTTAACTATCTCCATGAGCGTAATTGCACCAGATTTAACATTTCAGAAACAGAAATTATTTTAGAGCTGAATAGTTAGACCAAAAGTATAATTTAGTCAAATCAAAATCTTGTAAAAAAAATATAATTAAGATTAAAATAATACTTGTATTTTGTTATATATAGGATCAAATGTAGTATTGAATAAATAAAATAATTAATATTATATAAGACAAATATGTTTAGTGTATTTAGACATAAAGTTAAAACATGTATATATCATTTAATTAAATAATATAAGACGACAAAATTCACTTATATATTTTTCCTTACAAATGAAAAATAAATTTGTAATACCATAACATTTGAATTATATTGATTATATTTTTAATAATAGTAAGGTCTAATCATTTAATGATTATACTTGAGAATTGAGACACAGGATAATTATTATAAAATTTAGTACTTAAACTAAAACTGTATAAAAAATTTAATGTATATATTAGTATATTACAGTGTCACATTAACATAACTATTATACCACTAAGCTGCTGAAAAGTATACAACTTGTAATTTCCTATATCAACATAAACTTAGATAATCAAATATCACATTGGAAAATTTAGACAACTTCAGCCCTTGAGCTTTCATCCTTTTCACCCACCACATATCGATTTTGAGTAGCACTCAGGCCTGATGAGTGAAGTTGTTTTCTCTTCTTTACAAGATGTGATGCAGTTTTCCTATCATCTTGAGCTTCCTCATAATCAGGCTGCACAAAACAAAAAACTTTGTTTTGTATTCAACTGAAAATGAATGCAAGGATGGATTCTTGCTTCTTAGTGATTCAGAAGTAAACATCTACTCTCTCCGACCCAAAATAATTGTCAATTACACAGATCAAGAAAAAGTAATAAGTATATGAAAGAATGATAGTTTTGTAAAGTTAATCTTATTTAATTTTACAAAAAAGTGATAAATAGATGAGGGAGAACCTTAATATTAAGGGTATAAATGGAAAAACATAATTAATATTGCCTTGAAAAGTTAAAACGACAAATATTTTGAGACAATTTTTTTCTTCTTTTGTGACAATTATTTTGGGATGGAAGAAGTATAAACCGGTGGCAAGAACCCAACATTTCACAAAAACCTCACATACCCACAATTAAAATGAGACAGAAGTTTCATTTAGTTCTGCTAACTAAAATATAGAAATCTTGATCAATTGATGCTTAAGTTTCTCCAAATACAAATTTTCCAAATATCACTTTATTTATCCAATTATATTGGAATGTCAATTATAACATGTCAGTCGTCTGTTTTTTTGATGTTGTGAACATAAATACAAGCTCAATACTGGATAGCAAATTTGATTAACATAAAATCTAATCCAACTACCAGGCAAGCATCAAGAAGGCCCTTGAAAAAGGAGACTAAGAACTGAATATTATTTTCTGAAAATGAAAACAAGGTGACTACACGTACAGATAGGGAGACTAATCCTAATATTGATAGGCTATAATTTTGCTGTCATAATTACAGTTAAAAAGGAAACTAAATTACCGGGAAATAAATCCATAAAAATAAAATTGAAACAATGAAATAAGGAAAGAATATCAGGTGATCCAACAACAACTAACCTTGAGAGCTAAAGCACGGTCAAAACTTTCAATAGCATTATCTGGCTCACCAAAATTCAATTGTGCTCTGCCAAGTGTGACCCATGCCTGGAAGGATCAATATAGAAATAAATATGTCAATTGAGATTACAGATTAGGATAAATGAACTAGCATTTCTCTAGCTGGCATGACCATTGGTGATTCAAAATCCAACATTAGTGTATTTTTTATTTAGACTATAAGCCCAACAAATACAATTTGCAAAGGATTTGGTATAAAATATAAGCAGTGTTCATACACCAAATCTAACACGGACATAGCATAGAAGCCAACCGGGTACAGAAGGTTTTTCTTTAGAACATGGTTCCAGATCTTACAACTTAGATTTGAAATGCTAATTCCTTTACAGATAGGTCACTCTAATCACTTTTAAGCATATACATTACAAGAACAAACACAAATCGGGTGAAAATATTACTGAATTTCGAATATGTTTTGATACTACTAGGCACTAGCTGTTTTTTGATGCACTAAATAAAACAAGGCAAGAAGCCAACGATTGCCTCAAAATGGAGAACAAACTGAGAGCTCAATTATATGCATGAAATAGATCACATATAGACAGGTCAAAGTTATGATTATATATTTTTTTAGGCATAATTGCTACTTGAAACTACTCAACAAAATTGCTGCACAAAATTAATATAAATAATTATCATGAGTAGGAAGGAATCTTAGTGTAGTATCATACCTCAGCCCATGATGGTTCCAATTCAGTAGCTCCTGTCAAGTACAGAGCACAAATAGTCAAATTTCAAACACTAAACCACTAAAAATTGAAGTTATATATATAACAATCACCAGCAACAAAACCTCAAACAAATAGATTTAGAAATTGGAACAGGACAGATCTACTTCCAAAGTTATCAATCTCGCTCAAATAGTGGTGCATAGCAACCAACTCTGCAAACAAACACTAAAGAGAGATAGCAGAAAGCGGGATGATCGCTGTTTTAAATGCTATAAGACAAACTAAACAGCATATATATAAATGCTCAAAATACCTGAGATTAAAGAAATTCATGATAAAGAATAAGTCACAGTTAACACACAATTACCATCTAGGAGCAATAAGAACATAGTAATGAAGTCAATAAATGAAAGATGATAGTGAAAGTAATAGAAAAAAGAGCATAACAAATTAGATAAAAATTAGCAGAGTGCGAGCTAGGAAGTCTAAAGGAAGAAGAAAGAACAGAACACATGAAAAAAACAAAAACATTCTTATAAAGTGTGAAGGAACATAGGTCAAAATAGAGGTAATTTTTTGTGAAATATTTTACCCAAAAAAGAAAAACAACCAATGATGGTCCAAGGGAACAAATGGGGTTTTCAAGGCTATATTATGGTAGCATTGCTATAGCGTGCAAAAAGCCACTATTGCAGCCACAATGGTTGTTATTGAAAATCACTCCACTATTTGAATTTCATAGCAGTATAGGGAAGCTCCGCTCTGCTATAGCATGTTATTGACCACTATGTATACTTTGCCAGAATTAAATATAGAACAAATTGCTGAAATATAAAGTTATCACTAAGAACAAGAGACATAATATATTCAAATTACACCTCAGAAAACAGTTCAGTTGCTATACTTAGTTTAGTAACTTAAAATTTCATTTGACATATTAAATAAACAATATTAAGAAGAACATCGCAAAGGACTCACGAGTTGCAGCTTTTACAGCATTCCAAGCATCTCCAATTTCTAGTAGAACCTGGGCCTTTTGTTCATGCAAAACTGGAACATCAGGTGTCAATGCAAGAGCAGCTTCCCATTTACCTAGTGCTTCACGGTACTTGCCATCCTGCAAAAGAATATGGAATCAACTACAAAGCACAGGCATCCACACAGACATACAGCATGACATGGTGACACGCCAAATTTTAAAAATTTTAGGACAACAAAATGGCATATATAGTATACAGACCAAGCATTTACGGTGAACCATGGATAAAGCATAGTGTTCTTTGATTCTGCTATCTGTCAACTAAAGACCTATCTATAGTTTATGGAGCCAACAAAGGTTGGCTCAGTTGGTAAGGAACGGACTTATATCTCAAAAAGGACATGAGTTCGATTTTTGCCGATGTAAAGACCTTAATAGTGATAATTTATAAGCATTCATAGAACCTTTAGGCCTGCCCTGTGGCTAGTAACTAGCAAGCCCTTGGACCCAACTAATCTAAACTTTTTTTGCACAAAAAAACAATCTATAGTATATGAAAGCCATCAATATGTCCACATACATTAACAAAGCTTTTAACCGTTGTTAGCTAGAGACAACTTATTTTCAAAAAAAAAAAAATAAATAAAAATTATAAAGATTCAGTTAAAAACTTCTACACTACAGAAACTAACTAAAAAAATCAGCAAAGCCATATAAGGAACTGAGCAATTTAATCTACGTTATATATAAATTTTCACTTTTCAGTGCTCAACATTCCAATGAAAAAAAAAAAAAAAAACGTAAAAAACAGACCTTTCTGCCAAATCAGAAATTGGGTGACCCTTGTCTCATTAAATTGATTATTGTTCACAAAAGGGATGCAATTGTATTCAAAATTCTATCCTTCCCCACAAAAAATAAATAAATAAAAGAACCTATGAGAACAACGTGGGTAGGTGTAACAGTGTTACATAGTTACATACCATGGCAAGCTTGTCTCCTTGAGCTCGAAATTCATTAGCCAATTGGTGAGTATCGGGAACACGTGCGCCGTCTTCAGCTTCGTGTGGATGGGGTTGATCGTCATGCTCGAAAGGAAGGTCCGTGAAGTGTGACAACGTTGGTAAACAACGTTTCTTCTTCTTGTTGTCGTTCTTCTTCCAACTCACTTTCATTTCCACCTTCACTTCTCTCTTCAACCTTTCTCTTTCTATGCCTTCTCTCTTCACCAAATTCTCTTCTTCGCAGTTTGGGCCTCTGTGTTTGTTACTCGGCCCAATACCCCAAATATTACACTGGGCCAGTCAAAACAGTTGAGGTTATTATTCATACCTTTGCTTTATTTACTATTCACACCCTACCTAATTATGCCAATATCTAAAAACCCCAAATTATTATAATAAGTAAAAATCAAATTATATAAAAGTTAAAAAATATCTAAAAACCCAATCTTAGAAAAAAATTTAAATATATTCTCACTTATTCTTCTATGATATACATGAATTGATTATTTAAATGCTTGAGAATTAGACGTAACATAATATTATGTCATTACACTAAAATCATCTATAAAAAATGCTTATTTTATAGATAAGAAGTGCTTAAAAAACATCCTAATGACTTAAAATAGACAATTTTTTATGTCAGAAGTGTTATCTATACACTTACTTATATATACATATATAACTTCCTATAATAAGTGTTTTTTATTTTCTAATGCACGGATAACAATTTCTTAATAAAGCGTTGTTTTTTATTATAAAATAAAAAATATTTGGTAAACAAAGTATTTTTATATTCTAATGTATTGATAGCGCTTACAAGTGCTATCTTTCTTCTTTTTTTACTTGGTTCATTCAAACTTTTGTAATGCTATAAATATAAAAACAATACAAGACAAATATCTATAACAATCAATAAAAACTCTCACCAAATTTGATACACAAAAAATATAATGTATACATAGTGGTAAGAAAAATTAAAAAAAAAATTATAGTGTATAGAAATTTTTTAAAAAAAAATCAACATAAAAAGTAAGGACAACTTCAAAATGAAATATATATAAGCACAATATGCAGACCTATAAACATTTTTAAATGTATGTAAACACCAATCTTTCTTAACTTTAATAATTTGATTATTAAAATATTGTTGTCAACTACAACTAGGAAAATATTACGAAAAAAAAGTTAAAATTAGCCAAACTATAATAAGAAACTAAGTGAATTCTACAAGGTAAGGAAGAAAACAGCTGTCATATTTTCAAGAAATAAAAATATTACTATAATTATTTAGTGGAATGTTTCTAATCTTATCTTATTTATTATTATATGTTACTTAATTAATGTTGATGTATTATTTAATTATTTTTTTTTATTTCTTTTGACATTTTATTGGTGTTGAATGTGTGTTCTTTAATTCAGTTTAATATATTAATTATTATTTGCAAATGCTTGAGTTAAATTTTGCTTATAATTATATAAAATAATGTGAAGTTCGTTTAGATTTTTTAAAAATAACATCATAATATATAATATATAAGCTGTTTATATATTTATCATAGAGGTAAAATTTATTTTTACGTATTTTATAAAGAATTGGAAATATTTATATGTCTACGTATATACTTATATAGCATAAAATATAATAATAATAATAATAATAATAATAATAGTTAATAGAGTGATGGATATTAATTTAAATTTTATTATGAGTAGTAAGTTATTAGAATGGTATTTATTAAATAATATATTAATGTATGTGAAGTAAAAGTTTGAATTCGTTTCTAGTTAGAGGTTTGACATTAAATATTTAAATGAGTATATATTTTAATTAAGGTGAAATATTTTTATATTATCGAAAGTATGGTGAAATTTTTGACTAATCACTATAAATTTATAATTAAAATTTTTTCATGGAGTAAAATTAAAATTCATAATAAAAATTATATATATATATATATACTTATTTGATTTATATGAATATCATCACATTTATTTTTTCACCAACAAATTATGTTAACCCACTATATAATATATAATATTTGTTATTATGAAACAACATAAGAATTATTAACGGAAACCATAGATAATAAATAAAAATAAGATGAAGAGAAGTATGATAAAAATAGGAGAAACTTTCACAATCACCTACAAGAGATACTACTAGAAAAGTGTCATTTTCATGCGAATTTTTTTAAAAAAAACATTCATAGAAAATTTTTGCGAATTTTCTTGCAATAATAATTTCGCAAAATTTTTTTACGAATTTATTTATAAAAAATAACTTATAGATATTTCTTACAAATTTTTTTACGAAAAATAATTTACAAGAAATTTTGCAAATTTTGCTAGAATTTTAATGATCATAAAAAAATCCATGGAAAAAATTTGCAAAAAATATTGTAAGAATTTTATTTTGTTTCTTGCATATTTTCTTGCAAAAATAAATTCGCAAGTAATGTTTATTAAATGGTAGAAAAATTTTGCAAGTAACTTTTATTGCGGATTTTCCTATCAATTTTAGTTTGCAAGAAAAATTAAAAAAATATTTAAATTTATAAGTTTAATATTTTAAAAAAACTTCAAGTCCTAAATCGATTGAAAATAAAAACAATTAAAGAGTATATAAGTTGGGGTAACACTTACCTTACAAGGTGATTTGTATGGTTTAATGTTAGGCTTATAATTTACAATCTTAGAATTTAAAAGATTATGTATCACATGTTGGAGGCATAGAAACAAATGTTTCGAATGAATTCATTGTGGGCATTTGAAAGTTGAAGAATTTATAGTAATTTCTTTAATTTTTTCGTAAAAAATATTCCAGCAAAATTTCTTGCGAAAAAATTCGCAGGAAAGTTTCCTGCGAATATTTTTTTGCAAGAAACTTTCTTACGAATTTTTTTTTGCAGGAAAGTTTCAAATTTTTTTTGCAAGAAATTTCACAGGAAAATTTCTTGCGAATTTTAAAATTCGCAAAAATATATTATCTACAAATGTATTACCTACAGATAAAATTTCGCAAAAAAAATTGTAGGAACAACGTTTCCTGCGAATTTTTATGAAAAATTCACAGGAAAAGTCGCATGTAATGAGAAATTCTAGTAGTGTGAGTATAATCAATTAAACCAAACAATAATGGAAAGTATTCTATGTTAATACCCCATCTCAAACTTAAGGTTGAATATAAAAAAAAACTTAGGTAAAGGTAATAATAACCGATCGGTTAAACTTATGTATCACATGTTGGAGGCATGGAAACAAATGTTTCGGATGAATTCATTGTGAGCATTTGAAAGTTAAAAAATTATTGATAGAATTTATAAAAAATTAAACCAATAAGTTATCGATCTTGAGACCTCTTCGGTATAGTTAATTAATCTACCTAAGTTATCTCACCGAAACTAGTTTGATCACTTCAAATTAACATTTTATAAATTGCCATTTTTCTTATGCTCTTATGAATCAATCGAAAATAATTTTCAAAACTGATTTCTCTTTTAAAAAAGGAAATGCACGCAAATGCTTGAAATGAGAATTGGACAACTGCAATAACATAGGCACGTGAGTTACAAATACAAGACACATTCAAGAGAAAAAGTGGAGGAGAATCAAATTTGTAAAGTTGGCACGTACAACTACGTAGCTCTTCCTTCCATTAATTCACCACCCATTATCTCTTGCAAATCTCTTGTCTAAAAATAAGGAAGACTCATGTTCAATTTTGGTGTGCCATGTGAGTGTCAATTAGAGAGAACGCATGGTCAATGAGCATAGCATATCCATTAAATGCCATGCACATCTTATCTACACTATTTACTTCTTGTCTAAATGTAATCGCTGCATTTAAGCCTTCCACGCACATTCACATATAATGCAATATACTAAAAATATTAAAGTGTGTATATTACATGGTCCCGGATCATCAGAAGCATGTAAACAAAAAAAATTTGTTGAATGGTGGTGACAGGGTTGCGTGGTTTATACATAATACAATCAAGAGCATGTAGTTTAAAAAAAATGCAAACTCTTTATATTAGGGACCCAAACTAGAGATGATAGTTATATTATGAGTGGTCACAACACTATTGTAAAAAATACTTTTAAAATTGGTCATTTTTTACTTTTAAAATCGGTTCTCTAACCGATTTTAAAAAAAGCGATTTTAAAAAGTTACACTTTTAACATCGGTCGTTGACCGATGTTAAAAGTTACACTTTTAACATCGATCATGTAATGACCGATGTTAAAAGTCTAACTTTTAAGATTGGTTATGGCATGACCAATGTTAAAAGTTGTCAATTTTTTTAAAATAATTAACTTGTTTTAGAAGGATCTCTAAACAAAACCTGCAAATTAATAAAATACCAAACAATTCATATGTTTTCAATGGACCAAATTACATACAAATGACAAGAGTTGGTAAATGTACAAAATATATGTAATAAAAATATTTTTAAAATACATGTAGTGAATAAATGTGTAAATAATAAGTTAAGTAACTTACAACCCACTATGCATCCTAAACTACAAAATGAAAAATGTAGTCCATTGCTCCCTAATGGTAACTAATTAAGTAACCTGGTGAGGGACGTAGATGGCGAAAAAGGAAGCCCACCACCAATGCCTTCCATACTGTTGACTCAAATCAGTGAAAAACCAATCCTCCCTAGCACCCCACTGCCACTTTTCTCGCCTGAAGTAGTTGTGGATTCGCCTAATGCTCCACACCCAAGTCAGCAATATCACCACCCTAAACCTCAACCAGTTATACTCACCCAAAGGGTGACTTGCATAGTAATGAACAAGCATCACAGGTATCACTATCCAATACGGGTCAATCATCTACACCAACACCAAAAGCTACATGTCAGTATATATATAAGTGAAGTGAAGGTAAGGGAAGAGGAAAGTAGTGTACCCAGTGAATGGATTGGATTAGGCCGATGAGGCAGAAGAGGAAATTCACATTGAAGAAGAAAAGGACGTTGGCTAATAGCAAAGGATGGTGATAGCACCATGTCCACAAAGTTGACCAAGAAGATGAGGCTGATTTGAATGAGAGGAAGAATAGGATAGAGGGTAGAGGGATCAGTAGCTGCACATCTGAAAGCAGAACAGCCCGTTCTGCAACCAGAACGGGACATTTTGCTTGCAGTACGGGCCGTTCCAGATTCGAAATTTACCTAGAATAAATCAACAACGAAACTAGAGAGATGAGAAGAGAATGAGAATGTTACCTTGATATAGTAGTCTTGCAAAGAAAATGAGAAGCTGGAGACTTTAGATGAAAGCGCGAGAGATACTAAAGAAAGGAATGGAGGGAAAGTATACAAAAACGATTTTTAAAATGGAGGGAAGGAATGGAGCGAGAGAGACTAATATATTCTCGTTGACATTTTTAAAATCAGTTATTTAAGAACCGATTTTGTATGTAGGATACAAAATCGGTTCTTAAATGACCGATTTTAAAAGTAGCGTAGAGACCTTTTAAAATCGGTTAAAAGTTAGCCGATTTAAAAACTAGTGTCATTATTTACAAAATTTTTACCACGTCACTTTTAAAATCGGCTACTTTTTAACCAATTTTAAAACCCCAATTTTAAAAGTGATTTTTGTACTAGTACAATAAAAAAATGTAATGTTAGAAAATTAATGTAGATCGCAAGAATGTTTGAACTTTCGACATCGGTGAATAAAAATGAGGTGAGATAGATACAAGTTTCACTATTTTCGTTCTTGTTTTCGTATTTTATATCCATCTCTATCTTCATATCTGACAAATATGAGATTTGTGTCTCTATCCTCATCCTTGTTGGGTATCAGATATACCTATACCTATCTTATATCTGTTCAAAAATTAATTAAATATTTTTTTAAAAAAAATTCAACATAGAATAACAATTATAAAATTACATTAATTAAATTATACTTAATATAAATTTAAAATAGAGTAAGAATTACATAAATGTCAATAAATTAAAAAAAAACAAGTTTCTAGAATTTAGAATAGGTAGGAATATGGGACAATTATATAAATATCCATTCTCAATCCCATATTCGATTTAATTAATTAAATATTACCTATATTTGGTCAAATCAAATATTATCTATAAAAGTTAGGTCAAATTCAAATATTAATCGTAATACAAGTTTACTTGTTATTTCTAATCATTCACAACCATCCAACATAGCTCACAAACCCTTATTAGAGATATTTTTAATTTTTGAATAAAGAATTAAAAACCTAATATTGCGAAGGTGGAAACCAAGGGAAGGGCATTATTTTTAATTCAAGAAGAGACGGCCTGTGTGAATTTGTGCTCTCCATCGTAAAACACTAAAGGACACTGTCTATTTATATATGTGTTAATATTTTGTATATTCTCATACTCTAATTCTTGCATTTTATCATATTCAAGGTTGGAATTGTACATTTATAACGCAAATAATATTTTTCAGAAAATAATTTAATTCTCAATAGTTTAGAGACAAACATCTTCTAACCTTTTAGACACTTGGCTTCCTCTTAGCAACATATTTTAGCATAACGTTCTTTCAATTGTTTGCATAAATGTTTGTGTTAAATTAGAAGGGAAAAAAAAATTAAAAAACACAACTAGTAAACACCATTTCTTACGTTTGCTTTCTTAATTGTTTTCAATCGTCAACACACTACATCAACCAAATCGTTAACTTGACACACTTCATCGACCATTCCATAATCAGCGTTACATTACAGAAGAGAAAACTACCTACCAGAATTTTAATTTAATTTGTTATATATATATATAACGCATATGATCACTTACACTTTGTTTGTCTAGATTTTCGTTTGTAAGTCTTTTTTATTCGAACTAGCAAAATTTTAATTTAAGTATGTATAACGCGACAAGTTCTTACAATTTTTCATTGATGAATCATACACACAACATACAGAGTTAGTCATTTGGGGTACAATTATGCTTGCTTAGCATACAAGAATCTCTAGGTGTTCATCAATACTTATCACACAATCAATTCTATGCATATGAACAGTAAGATGAATCGAATAAACAACACGTATATTGATTGCGGAAATCATATCCTTCACTTTCAACAATGATAGAATTATAATGCATAAGGATAATAATGAGTGACTAACAAACTAAACTAAACTAGACCTAAACTACAAAGAAAAGAGAAAAAATGGTCAAGAAATCATACTCAGCAGTCTCGTTAGGGGTGGGCAAAAAAAATTGAACTGAATTGAACTGAACTGAACTGGTGGTGAACTGTACTATAAAAAACTGAACTATTTGTAAAAAAAGTGAACTGAAATGTTTAAGAAAAACTGAACTGAACTTAATTGTTGTAAAGTTGAACTGTACTGAACTATAAAAACTGAACTGCATTATAAAAATTGAACTATTTTTATAAAAGAATAAAAATTAAATGTGTTTAACATGTTATGTCTTAATGGATTAGCTCAATAGTCTAATAACCAAAACTTTAGAAAAAAAGTGATTTGAAAAAAATTGTATCAATTTTGTCGAACTTAACGGATCAATTGAGCTATGTTGAACTACTTATTTTTAGGCTTAAAATTTACAGAGTTTGTTTGATTTAATTTTATATTTTTGTCCTTTGAAAAAAATATCATAACAGTTTAGTGCAGTTTAAATTGCAGTTCAGTTCAAGTTTTTATAGTATAGTTCAGTTCAGTTCAATGACACAAAAGAATAGTTCAGTTCAGTTCGTCTAAACTAATATTTAGTTTAGTTCAGTTCATATGAACTACTTTTAAGTTTAGTATAGTTTTTATAAGTTCAGTTCAGTTCAGTTCGTTTTGCCTACTCCTAACACTACAAGGAAAATGATAAATTGCAACGGACAAATTGCGACGGTTATTTAGAAACCGTCACTGTCTTATTATCGAATTGATAACATGATGTGAGTATGTTGACATGAAATGAGATGTGTGGAATGTGAATGAGATGTGATTGTGAATCCTCATACTGATGATCAGGGGTGAGCAAGACCCTAGGCTGCTAAAAGGGTAGCGTGACCTTGGCACAATGTTATGTCAAGGGTGAGCACGATCCTAGGCTGCTAAAAGGGTAGCGTGACCTTGGCATAGTGTTATGTCAGGGGTGAGGATGACCCTAGGCTGCTACAAGGGTAGCGTGACCTTGACATAGTGTTAATTGTAAGATTTGTGATGATTGTGATTGTGATGTGAATGTGGTTCCTCATACATATGACCAGGGATGAGACGACCCTGGGTAAGTGATGCTACAAGGATGGCGTGCCCCTGACATAGTGTGGGATAAGTGGGGCAATTAATACGTATCACTTATGTCTAGAGTGGCACGACCTTGAGGTGGCGTGACCATTGACATAGTGTTAATTGCAAGATTTGCGATGGATTGGTGTGATTGTGAAATTGTGATGTGAAGTTGATGCATGATTGATAGAATTATGATATGTAGAAATGATTGTAAATATTTCATTATGTAATGAGTTATGATGAGATTACATTGTGGTGTGTTTGTATGTTCTTTACATATAGATGTTTTCTTTTCTCACCGTATAATTTGTGGATATTTTAGGTGAGGAAGACCTAGCTTTGAGTGGCATCTAAAATGCCAACAATTGAATTGTAGTATTAAAAATTTTATATATCTTTTAAAGGTATAAATTATGGTTTCAAAAATCTCGCTGCAAATGGTTAGAACTTGGGGATCGTAACACACGTTATTTCCATGGGACAACCATCATCAGAAGAAGGAAAAATAGAGTGCTCTCTCTACAAGATGATTCAGGGGCTTGGGTGGTAAATGAAGATGAATTGAAATATATGGTTACCTCCTTTTATAAAAATCTGTTCACTGATCCAGGTGAGTATGAACCCTTTTGCTTAACTCAATCCTTTCCCGAGTTAACAGCTGCTGAAAAAGAAATGATGGCAATTTGTGTGGAGATTGACCTTCAGAAAAAGTTGGTCTCTCAGATCAACGTTTTAGGACATATCTTAAAATTGGAGTATGAAGGCCTTCACTCTATCTGCTTTACATGTGGTAAATATGGTCATAAACAATCTCAATGTTCTAAGATAACTATAACTGAGGAGCATATGAACACAACTAAGCGGGATAATTCTTCAATGGATGTGGAAGGGAATTTGGCAAAGTCATCAACGATGGAGGACTACCCTAATCGAAACCAACCTAACGCCAAGCAGAATATTCACAGCCAAGATTCACCAGATTCTCCGGATCAATATGGGCCATGGATGATTGTTAAGCGTAAAAAGAAATCCCCCAAGTCTCGGAATCAGTTGATACCTGGAGGTGATATTCAAGATATGATTATCTATAATTCATATCCAAATCACGTAAATAATCCATTAGTGGATGTGAATCAAAAGGCTGACGTGGCAGATAAAACAAAATCGGTAATGAGTTATAGCAACGACATCATCCCAAGGTCTACAGAAAAATCTACTAGGATTCTGCGGAACACAACAGGAGGGAAGAACTCCCAAAATCTACGTAAAAAAGAGATGATGGGCCCAAAAGCTGCAAAATTTAAAAATAACGGTATGATCAATATTAAAGGATCTCGGTCAGATGGTGGGCCCTTACCACAAACCTTCATGGATAATTTCAAGTTAACACAGTCAAATGACAGTCATGTAGTACGTGAAGAGTGCAACTCAAAGGCAGTTCTCGCAAACCTTAAGCGCATGTCAGAGTCTCATCCCAATGAACACGAAAATCCTATTGAAGTAATATCGCATGTCGTTCTTCCAGATGCAGAAACCATGGAGTTTGCTAACCTCATGCGACAACACCTGGACCCGGGTAGATCCTCAAGTACTAAACAAGATCCCACTAAACAGAACTATGGTGATATCCATAATGACACAAGGGTTTCCAACCCAAACTCTAAAACAAATTTTTAATGAATATTACAAGTTGGAATTGTAGAGGAGCTGGGTGTAAAGGTTTTGTCCCACTCATAAATGATTCCATACGAGAAAATGACATTGGTGTCTTATGCTTGCTTGAAACACACATTAGTGGCGTAAAAGCCCAAAAGGTTATTCAAAGGATTAATCTAGATAGCTCCTTTGTGGTTGATGCGCATGGTCAAGCCGGAGGGATATGGTGCTTATGGGACTCAACGAGATGGAAACTTGAGGTTGTATCTAACTCTAACCAGTATGTTCATTTCTATGTGAAAGGTCTAATGGGATCTTGGTTCATGACTGTTGTATATGCCAATCCTCATTCTCAATTTCGTATCGAACTCTGGAGAGACTTGATACGTTTGGCTTCAACAATACAGGGTGCTTGGAGTGTATTGGGTGACTTTAATGCAACTCTAAAGGATGAAGAACGACATGGGGGATCTCTTCACGCAAACTCTCGAGGTGACCTCGCATTTAGACATATGGCTCGTGATTGTAATCTAATTGATATAGGTTTCCAGGGTGCTCCATTTACTTGGCAACGTGGTAAGGTGTATGTTCGCTTAGATCGTGTTCTAGTTAACATTCAATGGCAATTAGAATATCCTGATGCAAATGTTTTTCACTTAAGCCCCTTGAAGTCTGATCATAGTATGATTCGTTTGAACCTCTCTTCTCCTCTACAATCTGACTGCCGTCGCCGTCCATTTCGGTTTGAGGCAGCATGGATCACACACCTGGAGTTCCAGTCCGTGCTTCGAAATAGCTGGAATGTTGCACCTGACTGGAATAAAAAAAAAATATGAGATTGTATATTTGAGGATAACTTAAATGAATTATTTGTATAAGTTATACTGACAAATATGAGGATTGTTACATTAATAAATTTATTAAAATTAAAAAAAATTATAATTTTTGACAGGTAAAAAAAGAGTCGTAATATTAATTTAGAGGCAGTTGGTGCGACAGTTGATGAAAGGGTCGCAATGTTAATATAGAGGCAGTTGGTGCGGCAGTTGATGAAAGTGACGGACAATTCTGCGACGGTTCCCAAACCGTCGCAATGTTGTCTTTGCGGCAGTTCTAACCGTCGCAATGTAGGTCATATAATCGTCGCAAAATTATCATTTTCTTGTAGTGTAAGTCTCGTACACAGGAGTCATATGCGCGGACAAAGTGTGTTATGAGCTTTCGTAAGTACACTATTTTCGACCTCTTTTCCATAAGCATGACTCATTAATCTATAGAGCTTTGAGGAACTTGCAAAAACTAAATCTGTCATGCCACGAATGTATAATCGTTTTAAACTTCTATATTATGGGTCAGTGACGCACGCCTTCAAATAACTTCCGGAACTGTTTATAACCACTTGAGCCACTCTGTAGTCTCTCATTCCTATCTTTTCGACTTACTTCAACTTATTTAACCATCCCTCCTCTAGCTACTTCATTTCGAGAGGATGCAAAGTATGTTCATGAGCGTTAGAAATTCAAGTATTTCGACATAGATCTGTTTCAAGTACTTCCTGACCCTTCTTGTACCTTACACGTTTTCCTGGCTTCCTTTTAATGTTTTTTCGAGCCCCCCACGATTTCAAGTACCTTCGAATTTCAAGTACCCTCAAGTTACATTATTTGCTCTAACACACTTATACATGTTGATTTAAATAATCATTATTGGTTACTTGCAATTACATATTTTCACTAAAGTGAATTATAAGTCTAACTCAAAATCTTGTAAATAATCATTCTTGGGTACTTCATATAATTTGTGTACATCATTATTACAAATCTTAAGGAGAGATAAAACATAATCTTTGGTAGGTCCTGCAATATGCTTACTCATTAATTCACGCGTGCACATTGACATTGGGTCGATCACTTTAGTTTTACCATAACGATCATTTACTAGATCATAAATCTATTGCAACTTCGTGAACATGTACATTCGCACGATTGTCGTTACATTATGAGAGAAAAGAGAGCAAAGACTTGGAAGTGTTGGAAACGACTCACGTCAACTATGAAACTATCCGAGGGAGTGAAAAAGAATTTTAATTAATTTACTTGTCTTAATTGTCAAGGAGAGTCCTTGTCATTGCATATGATATCATTTATTGTTCCAGCTTTTCTTAATTTATTCGTCAACAAAAATCCTTGTCATTAGATACTATTTGATCTTCTTTTATCTCATCTAAATCAGGAAGAAACTTTAAACGTTAAGAGAGATATCAGTACGCGTAAAGTTTTAGGAGTTGGACCTACATTCTCATTATTCACTCACCAATTTCACTCAATAACATTACAACAAGTATAAAACCATTTAGAGCATAGTCTACCACATAGGTAAACACAATAACTGCATGTTAATTTATAGAGAAGTAGAAAAGATCGATGGAACTTGAGCCATGGTAGTTTCATCTATATAAGTAAATTTTTTAAACTAAATACATTTAATTAACTTTTTTGATGGGTGAAATTAGTTTTATAAAGTACTAATTATTAAGTGTTTCAAAGAAAAACAAGCTTTAAATATTATAATTAAAGACTAGATAAGTTTCGAGTATGATATTATTAAAATTGTAGGCTTAAACCTAATTCAATTTTTTTTAAAAAAATGTTTATAAGATGAGTACTCTCTCTTATATTTTAATCATCCAACTATTTTACATGAATCTCTTAGGTATGATGATGACAAATGATGCCTCAATTTATTTCTCTAGTATATGTCAATTCAATTTTTTTTAATATTTTTTGTTAAGGTAAAATTCCAAAGTAGAAAAAACAACAAAAAGTAGTAATCAAATGCTGGCAAGGTAACGCGCATTTGTATCCTATTGCGAGCATATCACCATCCCAACGTCTAATTCATACGCGTTTAACTTAAGATTCTAATTTATAGATTAATACTTTAAGAGAGATGTACAACCAAATGAATCCTACAAAAATGGAGATGGAGTACTTTAAGAGAGATTCTATCACGTAGCTTTTTTTTTTCATTATTGAATGAATTGATGAAGATGGAGTACTTAATTATTTACTAAATATTTTTATCTCCCATTTTATTTAATGAAACTCACTTATAATTTATTTAATCATACAAAAATGTGTTTGACACAATAAATTATACATATTAATCTTAAATAAGATAGTTTAAAGCACTCACATAAAAGATCATCACTTGAAAATCTTAAAATCATCACACATATATAAGGGTTGTTTGATTTTACCTTTTTTTATTTTTAATTTTAAAAAATGTTTTCAAAAGAAGTCCAAAATTAAAAATAAAAAAAACATTTTCTTTATTGTTTTGCACTTTTGAAAATGAGGTGATATGTGATGGTAATTATTATTATTTTACAAACTTACTTTTAAGCATGTAGTCTTGCACACATAATTCAATAAACTTATTTTTTTATATATATGTAATTCAATCGATATGACATATTTTCTTCTGTGTGCAAAAAAAAGTTTTATTTGACATTTGCATATGTATTATACGATAATATTATAAGATTTATTAGATATAATTATTCTATAAAATTTTAATTACATATGTTGTTTATATCATTTAATTATTTTAATTAAATATTACTTATAAAATATGATTGCTATTTAGTGTGATTAAGTTTTGATTACTATATAGTTTAAAATAAGTAGTATCTTATATATATATTATTTTGATATACAATTACTACTTTTAAGATAATAAATTATTTATTTGATACAAAAAAAAATATAAGGGACATTTGCATGTTTTGAGTGAAATCCACCTATTATAAGAGAAAAGTATTCAAATAAAAATAAATATAAGATAGAGTGAAAAAAGTAAAATATTTATAAAATAAAATATTATTTTAATTCATATATATATATAGAAAAAGTAATTTTATTGATTGTAAATTTTATACCCAAAATATTTTATAAATTTTTATTAAAAATAGTCAAATCAAACATATATTTCTAAATTTTAAAATTAAAAAATAAAAATAAAAAAATTTCTGAAATCCTAAACTTTAAATTCTAAGCCAAATACATCCTAAGTTGTTCGTGCATATGTTTCAAAGCTAGTATTGATTCATGTTCAAAAGCAAATATGTATGATTAAATTTTAGTACAATGACGCTTATCAAAAAAGATTCTAGTACAATGACTTGTTGTACAGAATTTTTTTCCACATAAAAAAAAAAAAAAACAAAAAAGCGATGCACTCCAGCGTAAAAATAAAAGAAATTATTTAATTGAAAAGAAATAAAAAAGAGAAAAATTAAAAAGTGGTATCACTTTTTAATTTATTTTTCTCTCCTCTCTCCCTATATATATCTTATTTTTAATTTATTTCTTATTTATTTCTTTTCAACCAAACGATAAAATTTTTATTTTATTTCTCTTTCACTTTTTATTTCTCTCCACTCTATTTCTAATCTATTTCTTTTTCTCAATACTAAACACCCACTTAGACTAAATTTTATAAAGGGAAGAATTATGCCAACTCCACACACGCCATGTTTTGTTCACACATGTTCTGGATTTTGAAGTTAGGAAACTTCAAAGGAAACTTACCTTACCCTCTCTTAGTCCCCTCACCCACCTAATTCTCATGCAACTAATAATATCTACATATAAAAGGAGAGTGAGAGATAGCATTAACACGTACGTTCACAAAATGAAGGGAAAGCTGTGCTTTAATTGCCAAAAGATGAATGCAAACCCCAAAGAGGTAAATGTCACCAAGAAAAATGGCAGCATATTTCCAGCAAAGAGACGATCCGTGAAGAAAATGATGTGGCAATGCATGGTTCAGCTAATCATTCAAATGGGTTCCAAGGTGTTCTCATTTTCCAACTCCAAGAACAAGAGTTCCATCATGCACCCATAGCTTGTGTGGTTTGTTTCTTTCATAGGTCGTCATTTAGCTTTTTAATTATTATATTGTATATATAGCATGTATGTGAAATGAACCTACGTACGTGTTTCTTTGCTATTCTGGGTCATGTGTCTGTGACTTTGGCTATAGCTTTATTAGAATTATGAATGAGAATATAGGCTTTTCTTTTTGTTTTTCATCTTTGAATTCTATCTCTAATTAACAAGTGTAGTAACCCAATTTCGTTCGGGAAATGTCAATTTTTGTTTAAAGACATCCTATCCCTAGACTTGATGACATGTTAGATGAGCTTCAT